TTAACTGCAAGGATGATGGACAGTCTGGGCTGATAGGAAACAACGAGCTAGAGAGAAGTTGGGTAAAGAGAGAGATTATAAGTGACCTTTTCAATAGGCATGGACCATTTCTATCTCCCTTCTTTATTCCTGGTTACTGGCTAGACAATCACCATGGCCTGGTCCTTTTCCTAACCCTATATATACCAACCACTTCCCAACACTTCTCACTTCAGCCTTTGGGTTGGAGACAGTATGTCCTCTGAAACACTGGTAACTGCCTACAAATTCACTCTGTCACAGCCCATGATTAGATATGAAGTGGCCTGTCTCTGCAAGTGGTATGAGAGGTTTTCTGATATTTAGTTTATTTAGTCATTAGATCTTTGCATATAACCATAGGAACTGAATGGACTTAAGTAAACATTAGGTGATTAGGCTGTTAATCTGTCATATTATTACTTTATAGGGTGTGGGAATGTTGATTTATCAGAGCTCTCACTTGTAATTTTGTCTTGCAGACTCTTCCACAAGCAGAAGTTGATGCCAGTCCAGTTTGGTCCTCTACTCTTTGCCACTGCACCCGATCACCCTGAAGTGAAGAATGTGGTAAATGCATTTACCAGTACTGCAAAGAGTCCTCAGCTAAGATTTCCAGGGAACGTGACACTGGGTCGGGACATGTAACTGCAGGAACTCAGAGATGCGTGTCATGCCTTTTGTTGGTTGGTGGAGAATCACAGAGCCAGAAAAACGTTATTTAAAAAATTATGCGACTGATGAACAGAAAGGCTTCATTTCTGGGCGTCAATACGAAAGCTGTTATCCTTGTTGACAGGGGCAGAAAATAATGGATGTAACCGTCCACTGCTCGTGGCCCCGTGACAGTTGCCGTATCAGGGTTGCTGTTTGACTGCCTCTCCTCCCAAGGGCTATGTGGATATCTCAGGGTGTAGGATTTTTAGGGCCTAGCCAGTCGGTAGGTAGCTCTTATCTCAGGTCGTGTTAACGGCCTGATCACACCAGTCAATAATAATTCAGATTGAAGTTTGAAGTCACGATATTTATTGGTATACAATTTACAGCTTCCTGTGTGTATCTAGCACCTTCGCTACCAGAGTGTCCCTCCCTAATTCTCCTCAGCGCCTGGGTCCCGGGCTCCTAAAAGCACTTCTCTGTCCGTCGTAGGCAGAGTCGAGATCGGATATTAACCAGATCCCAAACATTCCTTTCTGCCCAGATGGCCTAAACACGACTTCTAGCTCTTAGGGCTGAAGTCCAACCTTGTTCTCGGCTAGTGGTGCTAGAGTCTTAAAGAAAGGTTTTGACATACTGGAAACATACAGAAACAAATAACAAAACCAAACTAATTCTAGATAAGCGGTTACATGGAGGAACCATAATCAGTGGAGGTCCTGGCTACTTTCATAATCTGGGAAATATGGCTTCATCACCCTGATGATGAAGGCTGCAAGGACCTGTGAAACACTACATGTTATAAGAACTCAGAAGACAGCCATCTTGGCTTGTTCATTAGGTGCCACATTTTTTAAAATCAATCTCTGGTAACCAAGTTACGGCATTTCTATAATTATAGACGAAATAAATAGTTTTCAAATTTAATCCTGTAACAATATGGGGTAATAACACATGCCATCACTTGATCTCAGTTTGAAGTTCAGTAACATTCATTTCACCACAATGTACATCCCCTTGTTCCTAAGCACTGCCACAACATGGAAGAGCATGGAGGTCACATCTTAAACTTGGCACTAGGTAAATAGAGGTCAGTGACATACATCACATTCCAGCTGTTTTAAATTCAAGGAAGGAACCCAAAGAATATATTACAGCTGTAAAGATTACTGTGAACATATTAAAGAGTTAATTTATGCTGAAACTTACACTCTGGAAATTCAGATGAAATGGTTCCAAAACTGTGTTAAGTTATAGGTCACCTGCTATGAAATGCATTTCTTCACTTCGTTGGGTTGGCAGAGAGATCAGCAACTTTAATACATCCACTAACATAAATTTTCACATTTTTTGATAACTTGTCATGATATGGCGCATGCATGTGGTATCCAACGTCTGTCTTGCTCTTCCAAATGACAACCCAAATAAAAATAACATTCTTGTATGAAAATAAAGAGCTCTCCCATATTGGCTGAACAAGTTTTTATGAAAATTAGTCAAACATTATCTACAACATTAGTTCCTTTTATTTTCGTCTTACACATGAAATGATGTTTTATTGGTCAGACCTCAAACGTACACAAGAAGATAAACTTAAATATTTAATACACAGCAACAAATTTTGGCAATTACTGCCATTTTCACATTCTGCAAAAATATTATTATCTAACAGATTGTTGCACGTGCATGTGTGCCATCACTTGTCACAATAATTTACAACAATAAAAAGAATTATATAACTTTATAAATACTAGATTAACATGTTAAGACTATAAGCACATCTCAGATGATGAAATGTGTTTACATGACAATGTTATATACAAACTTGAACTTATTGATGTTATAACTTTCTGTTATTCGTGAGGCTGTATAATCAAAATGCTGGACATACTTCATCAATGAACTTCTTATTATCACCACTGCACTAGGTCAGACAGCAACCATCTGCACTTCCCTTTTCTACTGTTGGTAAACAAGTAGCCGAGATGTAGTTATACTTGCGACAGGGTGAGACTGCGTGTCTGTGGAACTGCAGCCATTTATCCCCCAGAAGATACCGTCTGATGAAAATGTTTTACAATACATGTGACACCAAACTACTTCCTTCATTTCTTCTCTTGTCTAAGCCACTCTTGTTTTTCTTGATTGATTTTTTTGTGAGTCTTGGGCTTGTTGGCTGTGCGTGTCCATAGTTGGCCTGCGTTGATTGCCTCGTTGCCGTAACTAATCTCAGCCCTTGGAGTACCTAGGCGACCTGTACTCCAGATCTTTGTCTTTCCATTCTTCGGTAGTAGCTGCACGGTTGTCCACACTTTGTTATATAAAATGGTCACCTCTAGTCGGATGTGGCTCTTCACCACGCACGGACGGTCTTGAGCAATAAGAGGCTCTTGGATGCCTAGCATCTTTATTGCGCTTCACTTACTCCTGGGTGGGTGAGGACCAGTGTCCAGCATAGTCAGACTACGATGGTAAAAGGTACTACCTCTCCCCATTACCTTAACCCCTTATTATTATTATCCCATCTCTTCACCACATTATGGCGTATGTACTTCTATGTACCCGAGACAGACCTTGTCCCTAAGGTACATAGGGCAGCAGCTATTTCCGGGATATATTTTGTTTTTAATATGTATTACTTGTGTTATATTATTTTATTTTACGACAGCGTCTTTCGAATGATGTATAAAGTTCCCAAAATTGCAGTTTTCTGAAGTCCCTGACGTCGTCTTCGCCCGGGATGTTGGCCAAATATTTCCTGAGCGACCTGGAGACAGTTCCTGTTGCCCCTATAACTACTGGAATTAATTTTGCTTGAACCTTCCACATTCTCTGATAAGGTCCATGTATTTCAATATCTTCTCTACTTCCTTCTTAATCACAATTCTGTCAGTCGGTATTGCTATGTCAATTAAGAGGCAAGTTACGTTTCTATTTCTGATTATTATGTCTGGTTTATTATTTGGGATGGTTCTATCTGTTCTGATTTGCTGGTTCCACAAAATAGTTATTTGACCATCTTCACTTGTCTCCACTGTCTTCGGGATGTGTTCATACCAGTTCTTCTCTTCTAGCTTTACCCCAACGTTCCTGCATATGTTAAAATGTAACTGAGTACAGACACGATCATGTCGTTGTATATACTGTTCTTTGGCCAGCACGGGGCATCCGAATATAACGTGATCTGTCGTTTCCTCAAATTGCTTACATAGTCTGCATTTGCTGTCTGTATCTGTTTTCAATATTTTTGTTGCATAATATTTAGTGTTTAGCGCCTGGTCTTGTGTTGCTATAATCTGACTTTTAGTTTCCCCTTTCAGATCTCCTCGTCAGCCACAGAAACGTGTCTTCTTTGCTTATAAGTTGTCTGTCCAAACTTCGGAGATACCGTCTGATGAAAATGTTTTACAATACATGTGACACCAATCTACTTCCTTTATTTCTTCTCTTGTCCAAGCCACTCTTGTTTTTCTTGTTTGATTTTCTTGTTAGTCTTGGGCTTGTTAGCTGTGCGTGTCTATGGTTGGCCTGCGTTGAGTTCCCTCGTTGCCGTAACCAACCTCAGCCCTTGGAGTACCTAGGCGACCAGTACTCCAGATCTTTTTCTTTCGATTCTTCGGTAGTAGCTGCTGATCATTTATATTCCTTGGTTTAGAATGAGTTTGTTGCTCTTCCATCGTTTTCCCACGAGTAGCTAGGGATTGAATGGTCCAATGTCGCTTGCTCCACTAAGGCATTTTAAAACCGGGGGTGCCAGGTGCCCGGAGTTCACCGTTCTCGGCTTCTAACCTTCCACCGCAGAAGTTTCTGTAGTCCCTCAGCACGGTTGTTCACACTTTGAACCAAGGGATTATTTATCGAGGTTTACTCCTCTAGATCCGCCGTGTTCTCTTATATAACAACTACCTCTCCCCATTACATTAATATTATTATTTTCTGTGTGTGTGTGTGTGATCTGTCTGACGACAGGTCCATATATTATTAGGATCCTTCCAACCTGTTTTCAAACATATATACATTCTTGGCAGGATGATCAGAAGTTGTTTGCCATTGCCTTCTTCTGTGTGTGTGTGTTAGTGGAGTAATTGTTGGGATGCCACGGAGAAATCGGGGAAGCCCCCGGAGGAAAACTCCGTGATGCCTAGACCACGGCCTTGCCCAACACAAGTTATAAATCTGAGCACCACCGGGAATTGAATCCGGGACCCCAGGCTTACAAGGCTAGTGTTCTGACTGCTAGACCACCGTGGCGGCTATCCCCCAAATTACGCACGAGTAATTATGCAGCAGCGCCTGAATGATAATGACAGTGGAAGACTGAATGGCTCTCAGAAACAAGTCGAATTTGTGACAAACGAGTGGAATGTGGAGCCACTTGGACTAACTGCCTATATTCTGGCACAGTCGCCAGCTATAATACACTCTGAACAGCCCACAAGATATGTAGCATATTTTAAAAGTTTTGTTCTCAGTTGCTAATACTGTACGTTATTTTCAGGTTGATCATCAGACTGAGCGAGAGGCCACAAATACCCCAGAAATGACCATACTTTAGAATGACCTGTACTCACCAAACCAGTAACAAGGATCCAGACAAAAAACAATACCTGTTGGTGATGCCCTCATGTTAAGTGCAGAGGCAACAGTGGACGTTGGTCGTACCATCCACTGTGAACCCTGAGAAGTGTGAGTTTTGTAAACATTAGTATATTTTTATTACGAAATTGTTTGTGTTCACATTGATGTGTCAGTGTTGGTGTTCTGTTGGATTTATATGTAGATTTAATAAGTGTAATTTTCAATAACATAACAAGTTTAATATATATTAATTAGGTTTTAGTTACTGCCACAGCCATAAAAAACTCATTAGAATCATATACATAATACCAGTACTTTTTTATAATCTAGTTTTTTTTAAATGTCATTCAGTTAACGCTAAAAGTTATTGTTTTCGAGTTCTTGTTTTTGTCGTTATTACTATTATTATAAGCAAGCTGATCACAGTCAGATGTTATTTGACCTACAACTTCATTGCCTTATGAGCCTTGTCTGTCTCATTGTCATCCACCATCCAAGAACTACACAATCACTTTGTATTCCCCAAAGGACAAAGGGAATCCAAGTGTTTGCGCTAGGAGGTCCCTCCCTCATGTAGCCTTTAATCTTACATCCCTTTCCCTGAGCATGGCTTTCACCATTTAGTTTGTTCCCATTTCAGTTTGCCTCGGGAAGATCCGGATTATGACCTGAGAGGGCAGCCACCTATGGAGGTTCGTCATCCCCGGGGAATAAACAATGATGGTTCCAGCACAGATCCCTTATCAACTATTTGGAACCAGAATTCCGTATGTGGAAGCACCAGACTACGCAGTGCCACATCTCACACGACAGCCTTCTTCATGTTGCTATAGTTACGATATAGTTCAGTGCTGGAAATACAATTCTGTCAAGCATGATGTGAGCACAAGTTGTTAATAAATCTGAAATAGTTAATTTTCTTGACTTCAAAGAGTCTCTGGGTGTTTGACATCTTTGTTTCTGATGTTTGTTTCTAGCTAGCTGAGTTAAGAGGAGGGAGGGCAAGTAGCAACATGTAAGGCATTTTGCTGCCTCCTTGCCCTCTCCTTCCCCTCTTTGTGTGACAGCTCATGCTTCCAGATATTTTGCATCCAGTACAGCTATATTTTCAAGAATATTTAACAACAATTCTGACTAAACAGATGATGTTTCCTAGGTAACAATAATGCCGAGTAAACAGATGACGTTTCTTAGGTAACAACAATGCCGACTAAACACGTTTCCTACGTAACAAGGTTACACTATTTCGTTTTCTAGGTAACAATAAATCCTAGTAAACAATTGACGTTTCCTAGGTAAGAACAATGCCGAGTAAAAACGACGTTTCCTAGGTAACCAGTTTTCACTTTTTCGCTTCCCTTTTTCGTTACACTTTTTTGCCGAAAGACCCTTCCTTATAGATGTATTTACATCAATACCAAACTTCCCAACAATGCATAAGATTTCGCTCCCTAACAAAAGTGTTATTATGGATTGGAATGAGCTTCACTACGTAATCAGTCTAATTGTTACAAAACAAAACATATCACTTCCGTACAATTCGGACATTTCTGCTTCCTAACAATAAGAGTTATTTCATAATGGATTGGGCTTCAGAACGTAATCAGTCTAATTGTTATAAAACCAAACAGAAGTTTTAATTGTTATCCTGTATATTTATACGTTCAAATAATACGGATACTGATACTCGCTTTATGGTGTCGCACATAATTTTAAACAGGCGTACGTCATGTAGCCTCCGAACTGTTCCACTGTAATTATTACAGTTTACACAGAAGGATAAAAACCAGACTTGCCTCTAGTCTCGAGGGGATACTGTAAAAAAATTAGTCAATATTTGGGCGTTTACTGATGCTCAGGGATAAGCCGTTTGTAACATAAAAAAACCAAAATATAAAAGTCTCGTGTAAAAGTGAGCTATATATTTGTATTATGGTCATTTTGGTGTATGGGAAATAATTACGTTCAGATTCCGGACTGCAATATAATGATATAGCGTACTCATCTGTGAAATTTCACTGCAGATAAGAACTCTCGGCGGCGATAATGTGGACTGTGATTCTGTGTAATATTTTAGGTGGTGGGTAGGAAGAAACGGCTTTGTAATTCGTGATTGAAATGAGACGAGATAGGGATATAGGCGCATTTTACATCCCCATCTTCACTCTTCAAACTTCAAACTTCGACTGAACAAATTCACATAGCAGAAGACTAGACGAACAGGCAATTGAACAAATCCGAAATACTGATTGTGTCAGGAGGGAGAACTAGGAGGGATTATTAACTTTCTTCAATCCAAGGACCAGGCAACTGGCTGTTCCAGCCTCACTTATAGACCACTCTACTACTACTCAGTCACCAATGTGCATCCTTCATTGGATATGAGTGTTACACCATTCTATGAAGAGATACTCTGCCCAGTGAATTCTTTTCCTTCGATTTTTAATTCAGTGAAAGTATATTTAATTCTGTTCCTAAATATTTTTGACGTAAATACGTCTATATTTTAGGGTCAGTGTTATTCGGCAAAAATATGTCACGAAAAATTGCTACGAAAAAGTGTTACGAATAGTGTTACGAAAAAGTGTAACGAAAAGGGGAAACGAAAAAGTGTAACTTCATTGTTATGTTACTTAGGAAACCTCATCTGTTTACTCAGCATTGTTGTTACCTAGGAAACAATATATAAACTTCCTTTCCGTATAGACGTCAAATTCTCCGGAACCGTGGTTCCACTATCACTTTTTTGTCAAAAAAATTTCTGTCTTCTGGGTTGTTGCGATGTGTAGTCTGGCTGATATTAGCCAACGTTTCAGAGGTCATACTGCCTCCGTCATTAGGGCGATTCAAGTATTTTATCCCCCCATTCGGGAATTGAACCCGGGAACCCAGGCTTACAAGGCTAGTGTTCTGACCTCTAGACCACCGTGGTCATCTGATGTAAGGTAAGGTAAGGTAATGTAATTTAAGGATGATTCCAAGGGCGGTTAACCCTCGGTCCTTTTTACTCCGCTGACCTTTAGCCGGATGGAAACCATCCGTTGCCCGACTCTCAGGTGGTAAAACCGGACCATAGGCAGTGCCCTAGGCATGATGACGTAGGGTTAAGGGGCGGAGGCATCCCTTAAGAGAGTCATAGTTACTCCCGCCGTTTACCCGCGCTTGCTTAAATTTCTTCACTTTGACATTCAGAGCACTGGGCAGAAATCACATTGCGTCAACACCCGCTAGGGCCCTCGCAATGCTTTGTTTTAATTAGACAGTCGGATTCCCCAAGTCCGTGCCAGTTCTGAGTCGACCGTTGAGTGGCGGCCGAAGAGTACGCCGCGAGCTAGCGCGGCCCCTCGCAGTGTGGAAGATCCGCGGGAGGCCAAGGCGAATATCCCCTCTCGGTCTTCCGGCATTTTGCTATTTCTAGGCACATCGAGTCAGATTCCCACTTGTTGGGCGTGCGAGGGCGTTTATGAAGGAGGGCTTACTCATATTTCGCCTTACTTCATGTAATTAAATTCTCGTCCCTACCACTTGGGATCTTGGCTAGTGCAATTGAGTACCTCAGACGCACTATCATGTGCGTTGCCTCCTAAATGGAGTTAGAAACAAGTATAGGAACTATAACTATTATTGTTGTAAAGAACCAATATCAACAATAACAAATAATAACAAAATATAAAAGTAGTTAGGAATCATTAAATAGGACAAAATCCCTTATAACAATGAAAAAGAACAACAATACTGATAACTCAGTAATAAATATATGAATATTATCTTCTTCTCCTTATAAAAATTTGTGATTAGTCGTTGTCATCAATAAATTACGTCATCAACAATGTCAACTTATGTTTGTTTATACTCGGCATTGTTGTGGAACACAACAATGCCGAGAAAACAAATAACGCTTAGTACCAAGCCAGTCGCATTATCACTGCTCTACAAGCAGCACGTCGCATTCTTGAATATTGACTGACAGTTGGCCTAAAACATCAGGAAAGTGAAAGAAGACGTAATCAACTATTTGAAGTATCAACTCTAACAACTCCAACAAGGTAAACTGATACTCATTCGATATATTACAATTAAGAAAGTATTATGAAAACTGGCCTTATGATCGATTTTAAGACGAAGATTTGCAGGGGTGGGGCTGGACGTAAAAAGTTGACTGAACAAGAACTTTTGACCTCTGAACAGCGACGTAAAGAACTACAACATCAGACATTTAAGAAATAAAGAGAAGCGAAAGAAGACTTACATTGATAAACGAGACCATATTAACGACACACGTAGAAACACAGACGCAGATTTGCAAGGGTGGGATTGGGCGTAGAAAGTTGACTGACCAAGAAGAGTTGGCCTCTGAACAGCGACGTAAAAACTTAAACAACAGACCTATTTAACAAATAAAGAAAAGCGAAAGAAGACTTGCATTGATAAACGAGACCATATTAACGACACA